GAATGCCCGAGCTCTGCTCCCAGAGCCAGAACAAACCTGCCGCGCCGTGTTGGGCCATGCCCAGCCAGGCATCTGCGCTAGTGCTGCCCTATTGCCACACACCTACTGATCAGGGGGCCTGTCAAGGGAAACACATATAATATTTTAATTTCATGTTCAAAATGAAAGTGCGTGTTACATACAGAAATACTGGCTTGTTACATCAGCCAATAATTTGATTAGATTTTTGTCCAGAAGTACTGATGGTCTCCAGAGGGAGAGCATCAGATAAAACTCCTTACACCCACAATTATAATTACGCTGTAGCCTCATCTGTGCGCACTACTTCTGGCACTGAAGTTATATATACCCCAGACAGACAGTAGAATAAACTCTACTTCAACATCCAAAAAAGCCACAAAAAGCTTAAGAATCCAGATAACACAGGAAGAAAATAAATGTTGGTGTATTGCTGATCTACAAGTACGTTTGTTGGCACTTTACCAAAGAGAAGTAGGATTTAGGCTGGGAAGGCAAAATCAAATCTTTTGGAGAAGATAGCCAAGAAAGAATGTATCTGGAACTGGAGGTCATTCACTCTTATCACCAAAATATCTATGTTTTAAGATTATTTTCAACTAAAGCTATGTGAATAACTGGTTCACTTCTGGTGTTTTGCTATCAATTCAAGAAAATAAATAAAATGTTTCTAATTGACCCACAAAGATTTGACAAATCCTGAAGTCCAAAAAAATTCTTGAAGCAGATAAAATGTTTCATTTGACCTGTCATAAGATCTTATTTGTGTATTTGAGCAGTGTGGAACTTTTGGCTTAGAAGTAAAATTGAGACTGTAGGAAAGAAATGTAATTTTATTTGAAATGACCAGGTATTCTATTATTTTCACAATTTTGTATTTTAATCTGGATGGAAAGATTTCAAAACTCAGGTGAATTTCTGCAGAACTGAGTTTATCAAATTTGTTTTGGCTTTTTCTCTGAAAAAGACTGGGGTAGAAACCTGTGCCTAGTTCTGTAAGATAAGGACCTCTGAAAACATACTCTAGGAACATATTCTTCAGGCAGAAATAGCTCCCAAAGACATAAAAGCAGACAGTGTGCAGAAGATTAGGGTAGCTTCTGTACGTACTGTGGTCACTTACACGAATTCAAGAGACAATCTAGTAAGTGCTTCTAGCAATTAAGAGCTTCTTAAGGTTTTTCTATTCTAACATTTTCCCATAAAAGAAATGTAGACAGAGGATTAAAACATGTAGGATGTTGTTGCCCTGTAGCAGACAAGCACATATTTAGTTTGTCTCTGCTCTAGGGGAGCGAGTCCATCCACAGAGATGAAAGCATAGAAAGCCACTACAAAATTTTAAAGCTGGGCAGAGTGGATTTTTAAAAATGGAGATGGGTAGTGCTGCATTCAAAAAGTACCATTGATCAGTTTAGATTTATTGTCCCAGAACTCGGATAAAAGATCACGAGATGTGAACAAAGGCTGGATGTATAGCTCTGTAAGACCAGCAAACAATGCATAAAAGCAAAAATGGAATAATCTTGAGATTTACTAGGCTTGTCAAAACCCAGAATCAGTGTTTCTCAGGAAATACTAATTTTAAACGTTTTTTTTCATCCTAAATCAAAGCAAGATTTTGGAATTTCAAAATTTCTGCACAGAAATCTCTGAAAAGTTATGTCTGTTAGATATGCAAAGCTGATGTTATCGAAAACAGAATAAGGGAAATTTAATGTTGATAATGTCATGCCTTCATGTCTTCAGTTTTATTTGGATTCATGTACACTCAAAAGAAGGTGAAAACATGAGCACAAAACAATTCAACAATGTGAAAATAAACAACCTGTTAGCTTTGAAAGAAAATATTCTTACCTTATCAAGGTGAATAATTTCACATCTTTGCTGATTAAAATGGTACTCTCCTGTTATGTATACTGATTTCAACAAGTCAGAGTTTACTGTTTGGACCAGATCTCATTTCAACTGCTAGAGAATTTTTGAATGCAAACAGAATTGACCTCCCACTGGAAATGTAAGTCCTGGGTGCACCTTTCTGAAACAGAAAATTATTAGGAGGAAGTCTGGCAGAAGG